GAGAGGATGGAGTCAATGAAATCTCTAAGTTTTATTAGAGAATAATTTTTAAAAATGTGTTAGACTGATTTACTTATTTAGTGTGTGTATGCAGCACACACACATTGTGGAGGTCAGAGGACAACTTGCAGCGGTCAGTTCTCTCTTCCTTGTGGGTCTCAAGGATGAACTCAAAGGCTTGGAGGAAGTGTCTACCTGCTGAGCTATCTCATAGGTCCTATTAGAGGATAATTTAGGAACTTTTATGGCAATATTTTCTGCACAGCCAGAAAAAAATAAAAATAACAAACCACATTTATCTCTAATAATATAATTTTCGTTTTCAGTGTTGGGGGTCTGAACCCAGGGCCTGTCCATCACTGAGCTAAATCCTCAATCCTTCTAATAATACTTTAAATCAAGGCATTCGCTTGCCCATGGCAATCTGGCAGGCACACTTAGGCAATGAATGTGAGGATGCATGATGTTATTGCGGGCCAAGTTTGGTGGAACTCTGTGAGTTTGAGGTTCGCCTGGTTTACACAGTAAGTCTAGGCCAGCCAGGGCTACAGAGTGAGACCCTGTTTCAAATAAAAAAAAAACCAAAATCAAACCCAAAAGTTGTTGCACACAAAAATCCCATTCAATTCCTCTAAGTTCTTTTGGATTTCATAATTATTTTATAATTATTTTAATTTTGGCAAAAACTGGCCATCTTTAATTAGCAAATGCGGCCAGTGTATCATCAATTTGTTAAGCTAATTCTGCTTTGGACACATGCTAGGGAAGTTCTCTCCCACTGAGCTCCACAGCCACCCTACGGTAGAGTGTTCACACAGCACTGAAGACTTGCTCATGATGTCTGTGCTTTATTTAATAAACTTCATTCACTTGTATTATCTGTAATATAGTTTCTTCTTTTGAGATCACTTAAGCTTGGGCATGGGGGCACACACCTGTAATGCTGTCACTTGGCTGGCTGAGGCAGGAGTATCATGAGTTTAACACCAGTGTGGGATATACACATGGTGAGCTCCAGACCTGCCTGAAGCATTATAGTGAGACCCTATCTAAACACAAACTAGACTCAATGGAGGGTGGAGGCCCAGGAATGTAACTCAGCAGCAGATCAGCTCTCCAGCATGAGGATATCTTTGAGCTTGGTTCCCAGCACTGTAGCAACAGAACAAAACAAAAACTAAGGACAATAAGGTTAATAATATACTAGGTCCTGTCAGCTTCGCTTTAAGTGGCATTAGTAGTATAAGTAGATCAAGTAAATTAAGAAGAAGCCCATGGCGATGACTGTAAAATGGTCAAGGGAGAAGCAAATTAAGAGTCCAGTGGAATTTGGGACTCTCAACCCAATCCTTCCATTCCCCTCAATTACAGGTGAAGTGCTTTGTCTAAAGTTACACAGCTCATTGAAGAGAGCCAAGACTAGGTATCCGTAACCTGACTCCAAATCCTAGGATATTTTTAAAGTAACAAAATGAACTTTTATTAGTTATTAAAGAAAATCTAGCCAAAACAAAACCAGTAAGTTTGGAATTTTAAAAAGCTAATAAGCATAATAGAAAGAAATATTTGCAAATTAGTATATATATATATATACACACACTTTTTTACATAACACAAACCTTAAGGTTACAATACTAATAAAATGATTTATCTGCTTCAAGAAATATAACAAACTTGAAAAAAATCTTTAAAATACCAACTTTAGCTGGGTATGGTGGCCCAGGCCCAGCACTCAGGAGACAAAAGGATCTCTGTGAGATTGAGGCCAGCCTGGTCTACATAGTGAGTTCCAGGCCAGGTGGGGCTACAAGGAGACCTTGTCTCAAAAAAAACAAAAACAAAAACAAAAAAACCCCACTCAACTTTACTAGTTAAGAGTGAAAAGAAGAATAATGAAACACTGTATCTTTAACTTCGGAAAAACTATAAAGTAAAAATGTGTTTATCAGGAAAAACACTGCAGCTGAGCGACAGTCAATCATGAAGAAGCTGCTATAACAATGTCCACGAAAAGGGCATAACAGGCTTCTAGATGGCTATTTCTAAGGAACTAAAGATAATTATCCTATAATACATTTAACCAAATTGAATTTATTGGATTTTGTACTGGCTTGGGGCTTGACTAAAACATTAGTGAAAGCTTAAAAAAACAATCTTTATAGCCATGGACTTTCTAATTAGGGAACAAGAGTAAGAAATACACTAACTTACACAGACTCTACAAGTTAACCAGACAGGAAGGTCTACTAAGAGGACTGGCTCTGGAGAGATGTTAATATTTTCTTTCCTAGAAGATTTGGATCTTGAGAGAAAAGCATAATCCTACATCCGTTTAATTTTTAAAGACGCAGGATTAGAATGAAATTAGAAAACCAATTTCTGATGGAAGGTGAAGGGTGTTTAGTCTCCGTGATTCTCTCAATGCTCACAGGACTGATTCTCTCAATGCTCACAAGGACTGGAACAGGGAAACAAGAAAAACTATGAAGAGCTGCAGACATGTCAACACATTTTTTCATATAAAATAATCAAATTTATGTAAGCTTATATAAATTATATGTTACATAGCTGAATTAAATGTAAATACTTTTCCTTATTTTAATTGGTCACAAAAAGGCATGAAAGAAGTTTAAAAGGATCATGAGTTCATCTGTAAACTTAGTTCAATAAAATTGCTATTCCTTGTGTTTTGCGTGAAACTGGAGAAAAAAATTCTTATTTTACACAGGTTTCAAAAAAATGTACATATATACAAACAATTCTCATGGTGTAAGTTGAGTGACATGAGTTAGTTGCTCATTAATTTAAATATTTACTGAAAAAATGATGTACTACACCCTGCACTAGTTATTAATCAACTGCTCTTTGGAACAAATGATTGTTTGGAATTTAATAATGTCTTGGATATTTTGCCTAAATACTTAATAGAACAATATTGATAAAATCAAAGTACTTTTCAAAACCATTTCAATAATATATTAACATTTTAGACAGAACTATTATTTTCTTGGTTGTCAACTGAACAAAGAAAATAACAAGTATCAGCATATGCCAATCATAACACAAATGAAAGTTACGCATATGGTTAAGAAAACTGTCCAGACTGGTTCAAATTAGGACTTGAAACTGCTGTTCTGCCTTGAAAAGAAAGAAACTGCTGTTCTGCTGTAATTCTTCAATGGTTGCTTCAAAAAGAAAGAATCTTAACCTGGAGCACCAGTAGGATAAATAACATGGCCTAAACTAAACAGTGACTTAAAACAACAGACTAACATTATTATGTAATGTCTGTAGAACCAAGTCATGACACTTCCTGAAGTAACTGAAAGGTCAATAGCATTTACATATGTATCAACCATTAGCTCAACAGGAAAGATACAAACCTGGAAGCACAACGTTGAGCTTTTCATAGCAGTGTTCACGTCACTGTCTATACTTGGCCCATTTTATGAGGAAACCAATTAACACTTTGGCAGTTGATAACAATACAGATGGGGATAGATGACAACATCTTTGAGCGCAAACTGGCACCTTCTATTTTAACTCCTTGTTTTTGTTTGTGGATGTTTGTTTTGGTTTGCTCATGCTGTTCCCAGGAGAGTCTCAGACAAAAGCTTTGTGAGTTACTGACTTATTTTTAGAAGAATTATAAGTTGGGCCTTGTAAGGTGTGAGGAAGGGAATTTGGACCTCTAAGTGGTGATTTTAGTTCCAAGGAGAAAGGTATGAGGACAGAGAAAAGAAAATGTTTGGGGCCAAATGCTCAAGTGTGTCTTATAAAAAATTAATAATTTATATTGATAGATACTTTGAAAGAAACAACCTGACACAGAAATAAACTGTGACTACGGGAAAACTGGCTCCTCTGTCAGATGAGAGCTCTTTGTTTTAAAGGGTAAGAGAAGCATACACGTGATTTAAACCCTTGTCAAGAAATGTACTACAGTAGACCTCATGTAAATCTCTCAAATCCTCAATGATCTTAATCCCTTATATGTCATAATGCTTTACAGTTTTCAAAGAGCTTTCACAGGATTCTTTTCATTTGATCTTAACTGGACAACTCTGAGGTAGGTATAGTAGATAGTCATCTTCATTTTCAAACAAGGAGCTAGGCTCTGAGAAGCTAACTTGTTCAAGGTCAAACATTAGCACATGGCGGAGCTGAGCCTCTCTGGAGTCTAGAATGTTCTAAGTGTGATTCTGGATAACCTGTTGGGAATCATCTGTGGTATTGTTATAAATACAGATTTGTAAAGTCTGACCACCTTCGATTTACTGAGCAAGAATCTCTAGGGAGTAGAGCTGAGAATTCTGCATTTTCTAATGGACAATAAAGTAGGAAACTAGTGTGTATTAGGTAACAACGCAAAAGTGTATTGCTGAGTCTGGCTAGATCTTCCCTTGACAACATGATGCCATCAGATCAGCATCCAGGTGAGTTTTAAAACAATGGGTTCTAAGCCTGGCTGTGATCAGTTACCTGGAGAGTCTTTTAAAGAATTGCCTCTCCCCTGAGAGAGAGATGCTGGGCACCACAAGTTCTCCAGGCTATTCTTAGCTACAGTCAGGATTGAGGATCATCTGTGTTTTCTACATAACACATCTAGCATTTTTCATAAATTTTCTTTCTGATCAGTTTCAATTGCAATGAAGTTTATAGTTCAGGTAGTAAATCATTTAAACATTACAAGATAAAATGTCAAATTTTTTTACTTGGTATTTTTAAGATAAAAATATTCATAGAAGCCAGGCATGGTGGTGCACGCCTTTAATCCCAGCACTTGGGAGGCAGAGGTGGGTGGATCTTTGTGAGTTCAGGGCTGGCCTGTTCTACATAGTGAGTTCCAGGACAGCTGGGGCTACAGAGAGACCCTATCCCAAAAAGACAGGAAAAAAAAAACCAAAAAACAAAACAAAAAAAAACCTCATAGAAAGAATAATCATGCTCTAGTTAGCTACAGTGATTTTCAAGAACCCAAATTAATCACCACTTTGGACTGTAGATTGTATGTATATATATATATTTCAGTTGTAAAAAACAATGATCCAGAAACTGAAAATAGGGATATGGGGCACAAGCTATAGCCAATGGGCTACTGGGGGTTGGGGTGCAGACAATCAGCTCACTATAGGAAGGCCTGGACACCAAGGTCTGATGGCTTTGGCAAGGTCACATCTCATTGCAGAAAAATACATGAATACAGAGAAAATATTTTGCTACTTTGTAATTGTGTTTACCACAAAAAAAACCTTATGTGTGATGTTTATCTTAATGCATGCCTCCATAGAACAGATCTGAACATGAAGTTCTTTATGAATCAATACTATTACCTGGGAAAAGATGGGCACAAATTAAAACTTCTCCATCATGCATATGGATATTATAAAAACATAGCCCATAAAAGTAATATTTACAAAAGTAAAAACAATACAACTCTAGGCGAAAATGCTCATCTCTGACTTATTCCAGTGCTAATCCAAATCCTGCTTATCTCTGGATGAAGATTTGATAGAGTTTCGAGAGAACCTCCCTATTAGCTAAAATACCCTTGCTGGTTTATCAAAGTCTTCTATACTTTAAAAACAGTTCTTTTTTTTCCCCACTTACTGGCAATAAAACTACAAAGTCCTATTATTCATCTGAGAAATAACCCTTGCATAGAAAATTCCTTCAATTCTGAAACTTTGTTTTGTTAACAGAACCACCAGAATGTTATCTCACAACTAGTTTATATGAAAATTCACTACAGAGCAATCACCACACATACAGGATTTTTCTAAATATAAAATAAGTGGGCTTATAGAAATGTTTACCAGACAATCACATCTCTTCACGACCTAGAAATAATTACTTTTGTGATGATATGACTCATGTTTTGGATGTGTTGATGTTTCAAGTCTGACGTGATATAAAGCAAAGCTCTGCCTTCCCCGCGGACATACTCTCCCCCATTGAAAGCAGGATGTCAGTGCGTTACAGCAGCTAGTCATGCGAAGGCAAAGAACAAACCTGCTTTTTAACAGCACACATTTTCACCTTAGACAAGACAGACTAAGCACTGGTTCCATCCTCTTCAATAACACGATTCATGCTGGTGCCATGTGTGATGTGAGTCATGGGGTTATTACTGAGATCTCTGATGCTGCTGTGTCGTGACTGTTCATTGAGCCGATGAGAACTACTGTGCCGAGAGTGATCTGTCAGTCGCGACATGCTGCCGTGAGGTAGTCTCTCTTCCATCCCTCGGTAACTGCAGGGTGTATACCTGGCACAGGAGAGCTGACTGTCAAATGGGCAACAACATACCAGGAAAGAACACTAGTAATTTTCATTCAAATGTCTTAGTAAGTGAAGTACTTGGGAAACTGACAGTGAGAAGGAGGTCAACGACTCATGACTGTTTAGAGCAATTTCATGCTGCAGAGTTATCTGACATGCTAACAAAACTTAGGGTTCAGGTTCAATCCCTCCCTGCAAAAGGACAAGCTAAGTCATAAGGCTGACCTACTTGGAGCTATGCTAAGCATGGACATTTACTCAAACTGTTTCAAACACAGTGGCTCAGAGAGAGAACAGCAGCAGAGGGACTGTGGCTCTGCCCTGGGACCCTAGACTAGGTTAGTCAGTAGAAGCAGGAACTCAAATTACATGAAAAGATCAGGACCAGAAGCGGGAACATGGGAAATAAGAGGAGAAATTCTAGTAACTTAAAACCTCAGTGAATAAACTGGGAGGCGATGGTGACGTCTACACATAGTAGACAGCCCTTTTCACAGCCGAACTAGTCATCTGTGAACGATATTTTCTTTAGGGCTCAAAGCTATGAAGACACTAGCTCACAGAAGCTACATCTACTGCAAGTTCCAGCTTAACACTCTGTAACCAATTCTTCCCACAGCAAGCTCTCTGCACCCTTAGCTGAGACCAGCTCTGCCCACACAGGCTGGCCGTAAGGCTCACTGTAGGTGCCCTTCCTATCTTGAAAGGCAGCAGTAGGGCTGTTAAATCTTCTTTTGCTGCAATCCTGACTCACTGAGCCACATCAGAGGCAAGAATATTAAAAAAAAAAATCTCTGACATCAGGAATGAGAAATTATTAGCTCTAGGCCAGTCAAGGTCATGAAAACCAATTACATTTATTTTATTAGTCCATTTATAGAGCTAGTATGGTACTTATCAATCTTTCCGGCTTAATAGTGAGCTCTTTCAGGGAAAGGACCATATTTTATCTTTCAATCTGTTATGCTACAAGAAATTTTTGCCTAAAATACCTTTTGTCGAAACACTAATACACACACTCTTGTAAAACGTAATTTAAGGTAATAGAAGTCAAGAGAATGGAGTATACTTTATGACTTTAATGAACATTCTAGTTTTTGCTCCATTTTTCCTTGGTTTTATAGTCAGGGATAAGAGGCTCTGGGTTACAACCTCTTGCTAAATATGTTTTAAGTAATGTTTCTAAAAATAAACAGGGTCAGGAATGTTTGTGTCGACCTATAATCCCAGAGCTCTGAAGGATAAAGCAAGAGGATTGAGCGTTCACAGCCAGCCTGAGCTATACAGTGAATCTCTGTCTCAAAAAGCCCTAACTTTGGTTAGCCTGAGCCACAGGAGACCGTGTTTCAAAAAACTAAAAAACTAAAAAAAAAAAAAAAAGAAAAAAAATCATATTTAGGACCTAAAGACATTCAAATCTGTGCTGCATATTTTGGTCAAACAACTAGAATGCTTGCAAATGTGTCACAATAGGCTGGTTAGACTCTCCCTTACAAACTACTACATTGCATAATGATTATTGTTCTTCAAACTAAATAGAAGATTTTCCAAATATCTAAATATGATTTGCTGATTTGAGGATTTTCACCTCTCAATGGCTTCACAAGTCAAATAAATATGAAAAACAAAGTAAGCCATGTAATGTTCTAGTGATAATAAAATAAAAACAAGGCCAGTGTGGTGGTACTTTTCTTTAATCCCATGTAAAAGCTGGGCATGGCAGCGTAGGCCTGTAACGCAGTGTAGGGAGGCAGAGACAGGTGGATCCCAGAAGCTTGTTGGCCAGCCAGTCTAGCTGAGTCAGCAAGCTCCAGGTTCAATGAGAGATGTTGTCTCAAAAAAACGAGGACATTCAATCTTGCCCTCCGGCCTCCACACCCATGACCATGCATGTGCACATGGGCAAACACATATATCCACCCCATACATGCATCAAGGAAGGGATGGCTAGGGATACCACTAATGATGAAGTGCTTGCCTAACGTGCAAGACCCCGGGTTTAACTGGGAACAAGAGGGGAAGAGAGGGGAGGGCAGGAAACAGGAGACGAAAGGAAGGTGGAGGGGAGGGCAGTGGGGGGTCTAATCATCTAAAAATATGACTTGGGGATGGGGCTAGAGAGGACTCCACGGTTAAGCACACTTACTGCTCTTCCTAGGGACTGGAGCTCAGTTCCCAGCACCCACATCAGGCAGCTCACAAATGCCTGTAACTCTACCTCTAGCGGATCTGACACCTTCCTCTGGCCTCTGTGCACATGTGTGCATGCATACACATAGACACACAGACACAGACATTTAATAAAATCTTTAAAAATCTATTTTAAAATATATTGAGTATTTTCTAAGATAAAACCTAAACTTTGAGTTATAACTAAGATTCAAATAATACATATTCTTTTTTTTTTTTTTTTTTTTTTTTTTTTGAGATAGGGTCTCCCTGTAGCCCCAGCTGACCTGGAATTCACTATGTGGAAACACGCTGGCCTTGAACGCACAGAGATCCTCTGCCTCTGCCTCCCAAGTGCTGGGATTAAAGGCGTGCGCCACCACACCTGGCCCTATATTTTCTTTTTAAAAGTATTTGTATATGTGTGTGTTCATGTTCATGTGTGTGCAGATGCATATTCATGTGCAGGTGTGTGCAGAGGCCAGGGGATCACCCTGGGTGTTATCCTTAGGAATGCCATCCATCTCGTTTGAGACAGTCTCCATTGGCCTGGCTAGATGGCTAGGCAGTGAGTCCCCAGGAGCCTCTTGTCTGCCTCCTTAGGGTTGGGATTACAAGCATGTGGGCCATGCTCAGCATTTCTATGCGAGTTCTTAGGACTGAACTCAGATCTGCATGAATGCAAGGCAAGCAGTTTATCCACAGATATTCCCCCAGCCCAAAGAATACATTTTCATGGGAAAAATTACACTGAGTAATCGTATCTGAGTAAACACATAGCCACAAAATTATAAAATACATATATTCTTTCTAAGGATAATTAACTATATAGAAAAATAAATTTAATAACTTTAATCTCAATTGTATATGTAGGAATTGTTGAATTTATGTACCTTTCAAGAGCCATTTAAACCAATGTAATTATGTATAATATAAAAATACATTAATTTAAATACATACTTAGGTTAAAAACTAGGGTGGTTATTTTGCTGCTGTCAAAGATGACACAGGGTACTCCAAAGTCAGAATGAAGAACATGACGGCCCCCTTGCTGCGTCTCCTTTCTCTCTGCTATGATGAAGCCACGAAACTCACTGCGGCTTCAGCCCACAGCACTCCTCACGCCACATCCCCGCCAGGTTCCCTTTGCACAACCCGCACTCAGCCCCAGCGTCGTCTGCTACACAGTTCCTACTTTCTTTTCTACCCACCTTCGCATCTAACTACCAGTCATTTACTCTTCGAATGACTACTTGTTTTGGAATTCTCAGCGCTGTACAATTCTTTGGCATTCACACGTAGGTGTGCACAGCAGAGATGGATCATTATACAGGTGGTCTGCACCAGGGTGCGTGTTGGGTGTTTATTACTCGTGGCCAGGATATCTTGAGATGATAAAATGGTCTAAAGATAGCACTAACACACAAAGTTAAAAGTGACTGACGCCAAAAGAAGTCTTCATGAGATGGCTTTTGAAATTATGAAAACCTCTGTTCAGACTAGACTTGAAATGTCTCGGGTCCTATGTACACACACATCCTAATACAAGATGCCTTCAACAGGAATCACTCTAAAGCCAGCATTTACTTGATAAATTTGCTCAGGGCTGGAGAGATGGATCAGTGGTTAAGAGAACTGGCTGCTCTTGCAGAGGACCTGGGTTTGATTTCCAACAACCACATGGTGGCTAACAACTGTCTCCATAACTCCAGTTCCAGGGGATCTGATGCCTTCTTCTGACCTCTGAATGCAGTGCACAACATGGGTGCACTTACACACATGCAGGTCATACTCTCATACACATAAAATAAAAAATTATTTAAAAGTTAAAAATAGCCAGGTGCAGTGGCGCACGCCTTTAATTCCAGCATGTGGGAGGCAGAGGCTCCAGAGAGATCCTGTCGCAAAAAAACAAAAAAACAAACAAAAAAACCCCAGTACATGACTGCTATGGAAATTGGAATTGTACAGGGTCTTAGAAATGGGCATGATTTCACAGAGGCAAGAAAAGCCACTGTCAGGAACCACATGTTCACTATTCTCCTTTCCTTATTACTGCTGTGTTTACTAGTCCTGTGCTTTTAAATTGCGGTTTAAGGGTCTCTATCTCACAATTTTAACTACAAACTATCTTGTACTAATGACTATCAAATAATTTTTTTGTTTTTGTTTTTGTCTTTTTGAAGCAGGGTCTCCCTGTAGCCCCAGCTGGCCTGGAGCTCACTATATAGACCAGGCTGTCCTTGAACTCACAGAGATCCGCCTGCCTCTGTCTCCCGAGGTTTGGGACTACAGGCGTGCGCCACCATGCCCAGCTAAATAATTTATTTTTAAGTTCAAGTTCCACTCAGATTACTGTGGCTAGAATCGCCTATATTTAACTGACCTCAGAAATTCTCTATTCATGGGCTGGGGATGCAACTTAGTGGTAGACCATCTGTCTATAGTGTGCAAGTGCAGGGCCTGGTTCAATCCCTGCACTGAATAAACAAACAAACAAAATCATTATCTTTTGTTACTCATTCACCTTTTTAAACTCTTTTCTAAGGTATTTTCTTAGACCAATCAAATTTTTCTCTTTCCTAAGGGTCTAGAACGTCTATTCTACTACCTCTAACACATACTGCTCAAGTTATACCCTGGCTTGAGCCCTTATGTAATTGGTTCATATCTGTATGTCCTATCCTTTCTATAAAGGTTATATGCTAGAACATAGGAGTATAAATCCCTATATAGAATGCTCCATGTATAGAAACTTCGCTATATAATTGTCCATCTATTATTGAAAAGGAAGAGGCCTGTTGACCAGGGGTCCCACAGACCCTCAAGTAATACTGGCTATTACCCTTGTTCTTGGTTACCTACCAAAACTTTATGGTAAGATCCTATAGCTTGAAGACACTACATACATGAGTTGTAGAGCAAACAAGGTGAAAGCAAGCTGGTGGTGAACTCAAAACTTCATCTCTGCTGGCCAGCTTTCATAGTGCTGGAAGGTGCTGTGCATGCTTGCTGGTATCAATCTTGCCCATCTGTGAACCTTGTTGAGCTATGGTAACAACTGGTCTGGCAAGATATGTCCACTGGTGCAATGGGGCAACAATGTTACGTGAATAGTCAACCACTTTCGGACTGAATTTAAGGTCTGCTTCACAAGATGGAGCCCATACCTAGCATTGATATCAGGCCTAGAAAACTGTGGTTAAGTCACTGCCCATCAGGGAGAACCCACTACTATTTTTCTGCTAAAGGGTCATAATATTAATGGTCTAAAGACCAAATCTGTCACCTCCTGATTTTATAAACAAAGTTTTATTGACACACAGTCACTTTCATTTGACTATATGCTGTCTATGGCTACTTCTATGAAAGATGAATATTATTACTCTTTCCACTTTATAGACAAGGTAACAAAGTCTTATCATTCCAGATCCACATTCTTAACCACAACACTGAACACACCATCTTTCTAGATAGACTGGGAACTTATGAAGAGCAAAGCTCATGCCAAAATAATTTCTGTATTCCCAGGGCCTAGCACAGGGCCACTGTAGAATGTACAAGTGTCTGCTAAATTAATCTTTCCCAACAAACCATGTTCACCTTGTCTTATCCCCACCCAGTGACCTCTAGTGACTCCATGTGCATTTGTATCAAGTCTAAACCCTAAAGTCCTTTGACTGACTCTAAGTCCCTGTGGTGGTCTGAATGGGAATGTCCTCCATAGGTTCCAAGTATTTGGACATTTTGTCCCCAGATGGAGGTACTGTTTTGGGAGGTATGACCACGCTGGAGGAAGCACATCACTGGGGGCGGGGGTGGGGGGGCGCGGTGGCTTACAGAGTTCTTAAGCCTTGATGGTTCTCCAGTTGTTCTTGCTTCCTGTGCCTGCTTGAAGATGTGAGCACTTAGCTTCTGCTTCTACTCCAGCCACCTCCGCACCATGCCTCCCTACCATGATGGACTCCTGCCCTTTCCCTTGGTCATGGTGCTTCTATCACAGCAATGGAAAAATGACTAAGACAGTCCCATGATCTAGGATAACTACACCGAGGAAAGTTTAAAAGGCTTAATAATGTTCAGATGCTATTTCAGAATTGGCTAAACTTCAAGCTGTGTAATCCTGATTGAAGTCATGAAGTAAACGAAGTGTACCAGCACTGACCTGCCGTCACGTGACCTGTGGAGGCTGCCATGGTAGCTGCTCACTTTGCTGTGGACACTCCCTGCTTTGCTTCTCTGATCATCCACCATGGCCAGCTGTGTTGAAGAAGCATGTGTGGATGTTCCTTGAGTGGAAGTTCCTCTCGATTTTCTTATGATAGGAGTATTTGGGTCCCGGAGGAGCGACTGAGCAAAGTCAGGTTCCTGGAGCACTTGCCGGCTCTCATTCACTACCCTAGACAATACAACAGTAAGTTTAAGATACAGACTCAACATCCCTAGAGATCAACAGTGCTGCTACACAGTCCTGACTGTCTAGTGATCTTCTTGAAGTTACCTGTTCTCTGCACAAGGTCATGAGGACCAATTTGAGGTAACACTTTTGACAGAGGACAGAACATAACAAAAAACCACGACACAAATCGGGTCTTTTGCTAACATCCCAGCACCTGGGATGCTGAGATAGAGATAGAGGGATTAAGTTCAAAGTCATCTTCAAGTTCAAAGTCAGCCTAAGCGTCAAAAGACAATAGAACACAAAACAAAACCCCATCACTCTATGCCCTAAAGCAGTGTGACAGAAGAGGCCTGTGTTAGAGTAAGAAATTCGGGATTTTAGTCCAACTCTGTCAGTGTGTTGTGATCTTAGGCAAACCATATCCTATCTTTCCTTTATTTCACTTATCTCTGAAGTAAAGGTACACAACTTTATTATTTCTAAAAGGTCCCTTTCAGCTAAGGAAATGTGCATCTTTGGGCCTAAAATATTAAAAAATGTAATTATAAAACAGAAAAAAGTATTTTTGCACAGTTTATGGAAAAATAGGAGCTCATTATAACTGGATTCATTTTTAACTTATGAGAACATTTTAAGGCTCCACGTTGATTTTGCGGTGGGAACAGTTGTCTATTGCTGGAATAAACATTAGTGATCATCCTCAGAACAAAATAAGATGAAAAGTTAAATAAAGGAAATATACACTTACGCCCCAGGCATATTAAAAACTTAAGAGAAAAATGGAAAGGGATAAATTATTGCCAGAATAAGGTTTTTTTTTAAATTTTATTATTTTTATGTATGTGAGTGTATTGCCTGCATGTATGTGAGTGCACCCATGTTGTGCAATTCCGCGGAGGTCAGAGGAGGGTTTCAGATTTCCCTGGAACTGGAGTTAAGGGCGGTTCGTAGCCACCATGTGGGTGCTGGGAATTGAACCCGGGTCCCCTCCAAGAGCAGTCAGTGCTCTTAACCGCTGAGCCATCTCTCCAGCCCCGTAAGTTTTTAACTGTTATAAAAAGATTAAAAGTAGACAGATGCTTATGATGATGAACAAGGCAATAATTAAATTAATGAAAGAGCTAATTATATAGCTGTAGAGCACCTGTGAGAATTAGATAAAGTTAAAAATAAATGATCTAATTAAAAAATGACTCCAACACGTATAGGCTGGGTCATATACTGAAAAGGTATTTGAGGAAGTAGATACAAATTCTCAAAAAAGAACAGGACTGTCCACTTTCTAGGCATTTCTAGTCCTGGGGTGGAAGGGCTGAAGTAAGACTAATGTTTGCTGATTACATACATCCTTTAGTCCTTTTAATGCTATTCTTGATTTTTTAAATTGTAATAGAATCCAAACAGGTGATGAATAAATTCTTATAGAGAAAATATTTCAAAGGTAGAATCATATCTAATAAGAACACTACACATATTTTCATTAAATCAGGAATATAATACTATTTAAACCACCACTCTTAACTATTTCAAAAACTTTAGTCTACAGTTAAATAAAAGAAATAAATAGGGGCTGGAGAGATGGCTCAGTGGTTAAGAAGACTGGCTGTTCTTGCAGAAGACCTGGGTTCGAATCCCAGCACCCACATGGCAGCTGACAACTGTCCGTAACTCCAGTCCCAGGGGATCCGACAGCCTCTTCTGTCCTCCGCGGGCATTGCATGACACGGGTGCACTTACTTACACTCGGGCAATACACGTATTCACATAAAATAAGAAAAATTTTTTAAAAATTAAAAAAAAATAAGGTTATAAAATTTTAAAATGTACAAAATTGGAACAGAGTAATCAACTACTTTTACAGCACTTGGATATAATCGGAAGAACAAGAGGAAATCACAAACAGAAGCTTAGGTTAATTCTCCATATAAAATACTTCTGTGACTTTGGCTAAGCACTTAAACTGCTCTTAGTTTTCTTTGAAGAGATGAGAATACATTCCAAGCTTTACAGGAAAGTCAGGATGATCAAGCAAAAAGAGATAGCAAAGCATTTGTTCTTAATTTAAAGAAAACTGGAATGTGAGATTTCTCACAATGCCTAGTCTTCCTTCCGACATTAAGAATTAAGACTGCTACCTTACAGGGAGATGAGAATGTTAAATTATGGTTGTTTTTTTCTCATTCTTTGAATATGTCTATATGCTGTAGTGTTTTTTGTTAATACTAATAAACTTTTTAAAATTAAAATTAGAGTGGAGCATGGCTCTACTCAACCATCTTCTCAAAATCCGATTTTTAGTTGTTTTTATGATGGAGTTGTTACCCAATCTGGCCTCCAACTCTTTTTTTTTTTTTTTTTTTTTTTAAATAAGTTTTGTGAGAGAGGATCTCCCTGTAGCTCTGGCTGGCCTGGAACTTACTATGTAGACCAGGCTGGCCTCAATCTCACAGACATCCACCTGCCTGTGCCTCCCAAGTGCTGGACTAAAGGCATGGGCCTCAAACTCTTAATCCTCTGCCTCAGCCTTCTGAACAGCTAGGATTACAGACAAGTACAAGTGGGGCCAGTGCCGGGTGTGGTGGCGCACACCTTTAATCCCAGCACTTGGGGGGCAGAAGCAGGCGTATCTCTGTGAGTTCGAGGCCAGCCTGGTCTACCTAGTTGAGTGAGTTCCGTTTCAGGACAGCTGGGGCTACAGGGAGACTATCTCAAAAAACACAAAAACAAACAAGAACAAAAAAAAATGGGGCCAGTTAGTTTTTAGTTTTTGAGAAAGACATGCCACTGCCTAAGTCCAAACTGTTAAGCAACAAACACACACACACACACACACACACACACACACACACACACAC